GTCGATGGTGGTTTTAAAACGCCTACATAAAAAAACAAAAACAAAACAAAAGAAAACAAACAACAACAGAAATAACGAAAACGAAAAAGAAAAACCCAGGGTATTGCAAGTTAAACTAAGAAGGCAAAAAGCTGTGTAAGGGTCTTAAAGTGTTTTTTTATGTTGTTCGCCCTTCGCTTGTGAAGTGGACCATGACTTCATAAATTGGTTTGTCTGCGGTGACTGAGGGTCTGGAGATGGCTGATTAGGTCTATCCGGACTCGGAAAGTTCGCCCGCATTGTGGGCACGGGTAGTTTGCTGTTGGACTTGTGGTGGAGGCAGGTCTAGACTTGAGCACGTTGCGTTCTCGTTTGGCTTCTGCTTCTTTGGCTCTCCCAGTTAGTTTGCAGAGCCACGCGAGACAATCTTGGGCCCTCGCTTCCCTCGAGTCGTTCAGAATTCAAAGTTCTTTTAGTGAAACTTTGAAGCAGTCCTTGGAACATTTTTTTGCCTTCCAACTGAGCGCTTGCATACATGAGATGTTTGGGCAACCGTCTGTCCGCCATTTTGATCACATGGCCGGCTCATTTGGCTCGCGTTTTGTGGAGGGGATGTAGATGCTGGGGTCCTGGCCCGCTCTAAAGCGTCAGTGTCTGGGGCTTTGTCCTACCACCATCGGATGCGGTGGATTTTACAAAGACAGCTCAGGTTGAGTCGATTGAGCTGCTTGGCGTATCTGCTGCAGACAGTCCAGGTCTTTCTGGCGGTGAGAAGGATGGGACGAACCACTGCCCGGAAGACATTCGGCTTTGTGGAGATGCTGAGTCCTCTGCGCTCCCAGACATTCTTGCGGAGCCTCCCTAAGGCGGCGCTGACCTTGGCAACTCTGTAGTTATTTTCAGCCTCTATATGTACGGCACGTGAAAGTGCAGCCTAGGTGGGTATAGTTTTTAAAGTAATGTGATAGACACAGTAAGGTGATTGCATGGGTTTTACACAGTAAGATTTTATAAGAGGCGCTCCCAGTATCACAACAGACAGCCAAGAACATCATCAAATGCAACACCAGGGAGCAGTGGCTGAATGGATGGGCAAAGGGCAAAACTGGAAGAACTGTATTTGCACACATGAAAGCCCCCAACTCTAAAGATGCAATAAATTCCTTACGTAGAAGAGAACAAGTCACGATCTTTCGCCTGCGAACACAACACATACCACGAAAGTCCTACCTTAATAGGATCCGCAAGGATACCCCACCCGACTGCCCGTTGTGCGACTGCCAGGATGAAACAGTACCACACCACACCACCTCTTTAACTGCCCAGCACTTTGCGACCTGCGTAGCACCTACCTACCTGCCTCCCCAGACATGGGAAATACTCTATACAGCGACAAAGCACAGCAGATTAAAACCTGTCAATTCTATACCATATCGACAGACCAAAGGGCTAGAACCCAAATTGCCGCTTGATCGGAAAAGTAAAGTAAAGTAAGTAAAGTATAAGAGGCGCTGCCTAAAACTAAAACATTAACGACAATCTACGAGAAAACTAGAAAAGTAAATGAAGAGTACTGAAAACTCCCCCAAACAACCCCAATTCAAGAACCCTCTATTGGAGATTCAGACCGCATTATATCCTGGCATCTGAGCTTACGGCGCACCTATAAATGTAATGTTTGCTTGTCTGAGTGATGGGAAGCACACCAATACAATAATGGCCCTTTAGTGCTGGGAAAAAGTAAATATGACAGACAGACAGACAGACAGACAGACAGACAGACAGACAGACAGATAAGACAACAGACGGAAAGTAAAACAAGTGGGACATACCAGTAACGTCCTCCAACCAACTATTCACATGTCTAAAACTTGACCCTAACTTCAAACAGTTAAGGTATGATTTTCTCGTTCTCGGGAGAATCAAAGTTCTTTTTACAAGGCAATATAATATAACGGTTTTCCTGAAGGCAACATCCGGATGGATAAGCTACATTTTCCTCCCAGTACATTCAACTCGTCCTCGTTCAGGAATTTATAGTTGATATCATTCGTTGACATGTTGACGCTGCCTTATTCTTACAGGACGACACAGGGCAGCACACTTCTGACGGTGACCTCGTTTTTATCTTACAACACAGTTGGATGACTAGCGGTCAGCAGGAAGTGGTGTCCAGATAAGAACTAACCACATTAAGCTGGGGCTTGAATCTTCTTTTTTTTTCTTTTTCTTTTTCATCCCCTGTTGCCGTTAAGCGTCGAGGGGAGATGCAGTTTTCTATGGTAGGCCAGCTCCGCAGATCTCTCAGTTGTGATGTTATGTTTTCTTAGGGTTTCCTTGACACCCTCGATCCACCTTTTGATGGCCTTCCTTTTCCTTTATAGCCTGAGTTCTGGCTGGTCAGGTGATACGCGTAACAGGGGGCCAAAACTTTTTATCCTTGGTCTTTCTATATATCGCAGGCAGGACTCAGTGCCGATAGCTGCTCTTACTTTTTCATTTCTCTGCCTGTTTCGTCTTGTGATGTTAAGGGTTTTGCGGAGACATTTCATTTCGCAAGCGGTGATTTTGCTTTCATGGGTTTTTCCTAAGGTCCAGGTCTGGCACTGATAACATAATGTTGGTTTGAATATTGAGGTGATAAGCTGTCTCTTTGTGTCCATGGAGATGTTTGAATGAGATAGAAGGGGTGCGAGCTGGTAGGTGACAGTGTTGGCTTTTTGAGTTCGCATTTCTATTTCTCTGTCTATGGACCCGTTTTTAGAAGAAGTGCTGCCAAGATATTTAAACTCTTTCACCTGTTTCAGTTGTTTACTATAGACATGGATGTTCAGGGGACTATGGTTTCGGCTCACTTTCATAACTTCTTTTTTTGATGTGCTTATTTTCATGTTGAATTTCTCACAGGTGTTGTTGAGTTCGGTAGTGTGGTTTTGGAGGCTTTGTTGGTCATGATGAATTAGACATTGGTCGTCTGCGAACAGAAATTCATTTAGGCTTTCTGGGCTTTGGTTTGCTTCTTGCATTATTGTG